AAACACACAGCGTAAAATTACCACAGAGAGAGTGAGTACAATTATTTGTGGTTACTTTTACTATTTATATGGAGAAGTGTAACTAATTTTTATATCGTAACTTATGTAACGAACAGTTGAGTGTGTAAATAATATACGAGATTTTAAAAAAAAAAAATTTTTATTCAATTCTCACTTTTGTATATCCTTAAAACTAATTCGCCAAACTGCCAGATATTTCAAAAGAAATGTTTCTAAAATTAGAAGAAAAAATTCGAATTTCGAATACAGAGAGTTCGGCTTTAATGTTTCCCTTAAATTATTAGATTGCTTATCGATCTTCAATATGCAATACCTACAATAATAATATAAAATGTTTTATAGTTTTAAAATTAATAATAAAGAAATAGAGATACACCCGTTCCCCAGGTCCCTGACGAAAAATGTGTTAGGAGAAAGAGATTGCGGCATAAAGCCGCCCAATAAAAAAAATGTTATATAGTTTTTACGGTACTATCAGTATATTAAAAAAGAACACAGTCTGGTGATATCTATTTTCAACCATAAATCTATAAGAAACTTTCCATGGCACTAATTAATCATAATGTGTGCTAAATCTTCCAAGTTGAATTAAGTTATAAATAGTGTCGACGTCGGCGAATTCCTTTGAGACGAGACTGGCCGGTCGACATTGTATGGCCGTACCCTTGACTGTACGCCTTTCTCTAGTTATTGATAACTGAGACTGTTCATTACCGAATGGACAGTATTGATATGACAACATTAAATAGAAACATTAAATGCAACTCGTTAAATTAAAACAACTTCCGGTTTAAACAACTTTTTTTATTTATAAATTGAGAAAAGGTTACTTTAAAGATTTATATGAATATTAGCTGTTCCCGTGCGATTTAAACCCATGACATTTTATTTTTAATTGTTTACATTTCGTAAAACTTTTAATTGGAAATGTCAAAATTCAAATGCTCTAATGACAATGGAAGCTCTTGTTATTGATAATTTAAGTACTCATGGCAACCTTGATTCTTTGATGGTATTTGCTCGTAGTTTTTCCCTCTTTTTACAATTTACTCACTCCTAAGTTTAATATCTTAAAAATAAAGCCTAAAACGTAAGTGAAAAACTAGAAAAAATAACAACAACCTAAAACAAGACATTAAAATTATGCGCTAAAACCATATTTCTGCTTAATTTTTAATCTTCCCGGATGTCTAAACAATAAAACATTCATTTCTGTTGTAAAACGTTTTAAAGCCTTTCCTTTTGTATTGAAAATGATCTAAAATGGCTCCATTTTTTTCTCTACATTATTCTGCAAATGAAATGATATTCAATAAGTCAGGTTACGTGTATCTGTGCCACAGCATCAGAGCTAAAGCGACGCAATCGAGCAAAGGTATCGTATTGCATTGCCTTATGAAATGGTTACGAGCACGCGTTGCCAATGCTACTGGCCGACATTTTTCTCTTCATCACTATGTACGCTTTATTTGCAAATAAAAAGTAAAAAGTATAATGTAAAAATCGTGCGATAATTACTGCATAAGTGACTATTGTAATGATAAGTAATGAACTAATAAATATAGTGTGTCATTGATTAATAGAAATAACTCAAAACATTTCCATTTATACACAACGTAACCTTTTTTGCCGAAGGGGAATGCCTTACGCATATTCCGTGCCTCGGAGCAGGCACGAGAGTTATGTGGGACTCTACCCATAATGGGGCATACCCACTAAACCCCTCCGTTCCCTCCTGGCCATTATGTAGGGATACACGGGATCGCTTTCGCTTGCCACCGCGACGCCCCACTGATCGCCCCGGGAAGGGGCCATAGATGCGCCCTAAGGTGCCCCTCGAAGACGGCACCGTGCAATGCAGGTTCGGGAGCCCCGAATCCCTAATTTAGTCAAGACAATGTCTTTTTAACACTCGAGCATATTATTTAAGACTCAATATTACATACTTCAGGGCGTTATCGCAGAACTCAACTCACATTTCCCTGTTGTGACTAACGTAACTAAAATAACGACCCTAATAAACCATGATGTAAATATTTACTATATCTCAATAAATTGCAGCGCTTTAGAGAAAATAACACACAAGAAAGTTCCGTGATGTCGAACGATTTAGAACAAATATTCGCGTCGCATGCAACACTCCGATGCAATTCCGCTTTGGACACGGCAGTTGGAAATACAGTCGAGGACATATATTTCCTACCCAGTAGTGACATATCATTTGATGCTTTGAAACCTTGTCATAGTATTACATGTGATAAATTAAAGCTCATAAGGACAATCAGCTGTACGATATTTGATTATAGGTGGGAAGCAAATTTAATTCTCTGACTGTACTCTGACTGTACTGTATATAATCGTATTTCGACGTATCTCTCTAATCTTATACTTATGAAGGCTTTACTTTCGACTTATACAATGGATTTGCTTAATGAAGTTCAAGTGAAAGTAAGTCAAGTTAATATGAGTGATGTGTAAGTGGTCAGTAATTAACAGAAGTAATGTATCATTTGATGTTGCTGCTACTCTGTAGAGCGAGAAATGTGTTAATAGAGAAATCTTCTAAAAATTAGCTGAAATATATTTCAGCGTAAGTACAACCGTAATAGTTACAGACCAACCTACAAATTTTTGTGTCGCTTACTATGACGCTACCTTTCATAACTTGTAGATTTCGTACTATATTCAATAACTATGTAATTTTAAATTCCTAAAATCCTGTTTTAATGATAATTCACACTTTCATAATTTGAATAAATCAAGACAGAAGCTAAATTCAACATCATGTAGCAAGTAGAATCTGCAACGCGTTGATGTCTTTTGTATGAACAAATTTAAAATAAATTTTATTTAAGAGGAATTTTAAAATTGTAACGTCTATAGACTTAGTTTTTGCAATCACTGCTGTACAATCACAGTTAAATTAGCTAAATCCATTTTTTATTATTTTTTTTTTAATACTTGTATTTAAATATATCTAAAACACTTATGAAAAGCATACAGTAAGCACTGGCAAAATATTCGTTTCGTACAATTAAATACCTAATACGTAGCTTTAGTCTTTATTTTCTGCCTCCGGGTTACTTAAAACAACTTTCGTTTGAAAGCCGAGATTATCGAAATCGTGGTAAGAGTTACAAACATTCTGCAACCTCTTACTTTTAGCAAACAAATTACTATCGCATATTCGAACATTTTATTGTATATTTACTTGACAGATAATCTCTTTGGATTACGTATTGATTACCCTGAGAATATAAGCCGAAAAACACTATTACTTACTAAATATTAAATAACTATAAAAATAATATAAAGAGGAAAGATTTGTATTTTTGTATGTATTGAAATAACTCAAAAACTACTGGTCTGATTTTAAAAATTCTTTCACCGTTAGAAAGGTAATTTATCTGTGAGTAGTATAGGCTATATTTTTTAATTTTACGTGGGTGAAGTCGCGAGCAACCGCTAGTATTTTATATAGCAGTAGTAACCAATTAACTTAATTTTATTGATCTCCGCGTATGTTTGCTATTGTACGAAGAGCCGGAATTCAGTGACGGGGAATGTGCGCCGTCGCAGGCTATAACCAAGGACGTACGAGCCGAGCACTATGCATTACAATTTTAAATGGCAGCCTATGCAACATATTCAATAAAATATGTTCTTTATTATATTGTTATTATTTTATTGGAATTATGATCTGTTTTATTATCTTGCATTTTTGCAATTAACTTAGTAACTTTGTTTGTTGATTAAATATTCAAATAAACTTAGTATGTTCGTGTAAGCTATAAGATAAACTTACTAAGTAACTGTATTGCAAGCTACAAACTATATGTATTCCAATTTTCATACAGATCCGCTTAACTGTTTTGAAATTGCGTGCTAACAAACATCCATCGAAACTTTCGTGTTTATAACTCAGATGTTTAATGTCACAAAGCTGCAAGCTTACAGCGTAAGCCCTTGACACTTAAGATGTGCGCTGGTTAGCCTTCAGTTATCCTAGTGACCTATTAATAATTTATACACAAGATAATTTAATGATAATTACATACTTGAGCATAAAAATCAATCAACATGGATACGGATGACATCGACAAGGTCGGCAAATATAAAGACAACTAAATTAATTAAAAAGAATTATTTATCAAACTGATACATATTCAAGAACATTTAAATGTCAACATATTTTAATATATTTTGATGATATCACACATGAATATAAAGATGATTCTAACCTATTTAAGCAATTAATATTGTAATTGGAACACTTGTTAACTTTGGTCTCTATATTTGCTTATACTTTACCGGATCTCGTTTATAAAACAAATTAATAATATTTTTAAGATCATTCAAGGTGGATAGTAATAATATTTTCCAATGAGGAAATCATAAATGTTTAATCATGCGAGTGTGTAGATGTAAGCATGTAGATAGAGGTGACAGCGGCGCAAAATGGAATCCCAAATTAATCTTCGTAAGCCAATAATCAGAAATGAATCCCAAAATGTCTGTAAACCTAAACTGGACATAAAAGTTAAATAACGCCTACAAACTATATTCTACAAATATTAAGTTAGAAAGTTGATTACAGTATTGTTGATTTTTTTTCTGTCCGATCTATTTGTGTTCCTTTGTTACGTCCAGTTATAAAGAGTAATGGAGCAGCACACACGGCTACAAATTACTGTTTAAAGACTTTAAATACGTTTTGTAAGAAAATTACCACCACCTTGCCCCAACTGCGTAACCAATATATCTCGCAACACAAACACGTTGAAAAGGGAAATCTACGCAGTGATGAAGAGAAATCCTAAATTGATAGAATATTTTGCAAATGATACATGTATATGTTATAAAAAAAATCGTTTTGCAAAAATTTACTTTTAATAAAAGATATATGAAAATGTAATTATTTTGTATTGTTTGCAAACTTATACATTATTTTTTTTTTCTTAATAAAATGTATAACTTACCATATTTATATGTGATAAACACTTTCTCCGATCAATAACTCCCATGATTTATTTTTAGTCAAACATTAAATTAATATAGTAAAAAATAAAACAATTTTGCGAAATGTCCTCTTTCACAAGGTGAAGTTTATATCACACATTTCACAACACGTGCAGTATTGAATGCAACTTTTGATACAGCGAATGCTGACACTGGTTGACACGCGCGCCTTTTATTTTTTTAAAAAGTTAATCGCGTTCGAAGTTCGAAAAGTGATTTGGCGGGAAACGTCAAGTCGCGCGGACTGCGCGCCACAAACTGGCAAGATGGCGGGCTTTTTTTGACGGTTCACACGAGTCGATTCACTTTCTACGACCTTACGTTTATGCGACTTGTAATTAAGCATAAAGTTTTACGTAACCTGTCGATGTAACCCATAAGTGTTTGAGTTTCCGCAGATTATACATTTTTGTAAGTTAACGGTCATCAAGGATAACGTTTCTAATAGATAATTGCGTACTCAATATTATAACTTAAAACCAGATTTCGTCAACTAAGTACCACTTCGTAACCCAGAACTAACTATACTTACGTAATTCTACTTACTAGGGGGCATTTAATATCTGAAACACATTAATGTGTGTTTTAATGCGTTTTGTTGATTCCCAAATAAATAATACATAAAAACGATCAGTTTCATTCTAATTTGTGCATTCCATACAATATAACGCAACCTTCTTTGTAGGTCAATCAACGCCAGCATCACAACAAACTATCGTTTTTAAATTGTATCTAAGAAAAGTAATTTATTATAATCTTTCAAGCCAGTCTCAGGGAGAGCAAGAAAGACTAAGAATCTTTGACTCTACTAGCATAATGTATGCAATAACACGCTCGTAATCGTCTACTATTTTAAAGTAATATTTGAAGAATGTGACTGTAGTCTAATTTATTGCATAACTAGCTGAAGTTCGCGACTTCATCCACGTTGAATCTAAAAAATACTAAAAAAAGTATAGTCTATGTTACTTGGTGATAACGTAGTTTTTTAATGATGAAAGAATTTTTGAAATCGACCCAGTAGTTTTCGAGTTATTTCAAGACATGCAAAAATAAAAATCTTTCTCTTTATTTATATAAATAGATTTAATGTTATTTTTGTTCGTATAATTCTAATTTAAATTGTTTAAACGACAACAATTTTATTACTTAGTCATTACCTTGTGTAAAATTATAAAAATCTTAGTTTAAGCCAAGTTTCGAAATAGTTTTCTGCTTTGTTTGCGTTGTCTACACCCACTCAAATAAAGGACCTCCTTTATCTAGCTGTCCATATCGAAAACTCGTTTTACTGAGTTTCTTGAACTCCTCTTGTTGGTCCGACTTCACAGTAACTAATAAATTAGATTGCAGACCTTTTGTGCAACTAATGGTATTACAGACTGTAAAAAAACATAACTTCATATACTAAAACACATTTTTTATTTTTCTTAATGTAGTTCCATAAACATTATCTAAAAAAACATTTGCATTAATCTATGACCATGATTTCTATAATATTCCAAAGCAATGATGTTACAGTAAAAACTTAAATATACATAAAAGGTATAAAACATTCGACATTCGAGGCACCGCCCTTCTCGCTGAAATCAGCCTTCGGCGCGTTCTAGATAGCTAGATCATAGGTGACCGGTATGGACTTACAAAAAACGGAGTTAAAGAATGTAGCGACACGACTGCCGCGCCTAAAAGCGTTCAAAAGTTTTAACTTAGCGATTGCGGTATATATTACACGAATAAGTACTTACGCAATTAGTATAGAAATTAGTGTTCGTAGAAAAAAAAATATTGGTGGTTAAAGCTAGGTTAACTGTCTTTAAATTTATTTCTTAGGTCAAAAGTTTTCATGAGTCCATGTACCTGAAGTTTAAATGGTTTTTCGGTTTTTATCTGAATTTTATTCTAATTTTTTATTTTATTTGAATTGAAGTTAGGATTTGACTCTATAAGTAAATTAAATAGTTAACTCGTATCACATTATAGTTGCCACAGAAACTTGGCTCAACGATAAAATTAATAATGGGGAGATATTGTCTCCGAACTATAACATCT